AAATTTTTTTCTCTAAAAATATACTTCTTTTCTTCTTGTCCTTTCTTTAAAAAAAACTATTCAAAGGCTACAAATATTTATTGTTAAATTAACAACTATAAACTGGTTTACTGAATAAAACTTAAAACATTTTGTTTCTTTTTTTTTCTCCTCATTTCCATCCTTTCTTTATCAATTATCTAACACCTGCGTACATTTTTGCAAAAAAAAACTCAAACAACAAAACAACAACAACATTAATAAATTGAATAATTATACCTGATAGTTAGCAGATTCATGTATTGGCATAATGACTAACACATAGAATCGTCGAACAGATGGAATAACAAGAATATCATTGATAAGACGATGACTAGGTGAAAATAGATTTGAAGCAGATTTTCGGCTCATAAATGGTGAAAATTTTAATGCTGTATTTGTATTTGCCAAATAATAATCAGTTTTGAGCAAATTTATAGCTGTTGAAGTTTGTCGTGTAATCATCACCGGCTGAACTGTGGTTACCGGTAATGTCGTCAATTGAGCTGTTGACTTTGATGCTGTGGTAAGTGCTGGTGGAAATGTTGGAAATGTTACATTACTCCAATTTTCAACTTTTTGTCTGGCACCAATTACTGACGATGCTAATTTAGCCAACTTTTGAGCATCAGTTAATGGAGAATATGTAACTGCTGAATTTACTAAAATATGTTGTCCAGCATTTTGATATTCAGGTTCGGTATTCACCTCAAGTTGAGCGTATGGATTGAAATTAACAATATTTTCTTGAACTGGCATCTCATTAGTGGCAGCAGCTTGTTGACCTGACTGTGGCGTAAGTTTAGATCGAAAATCAAGTGGAAATCCAGGTTTAATAATAAACGAAGATATCAGTAAATAAACTGCTAACATTGTGGAATGAGACCCACAGGTTACAGCAAAAATAAAAAAGAATCGATTTGATTGCCAACAGCTAAAAAACGCGTCAAACAGTGATGTACCAATAGTTTGAATATTAAGTAAGTACTTACAAACTGAGTTGTATGTAAAAAAATTGAAGTAATTCAATAGCAGTACTACTGATTTGAAGCGACAAATAAAAGAACAACAAGGAATCGGATGACTTTTAGGAAAGGTCGATTTTAACAAATTTACCGCTAATACGACACCTCAAATTCAATGTATTTGAGTTGCTTTGTTTGCCAAATTATCTGGCTAGTCAGATACAGACGGCGCAAGATAGAAGGCAGATAACGGAGGAGGTAAAGGAGGTGGAGGGAAGTTGCTGATGATTAAGAGATGAAGGGAGGGAGAGCACTAATTTTTAAGCAGATCGGCTTATCCGGTGCGGTTTAAGAAGCACAAAAACTAAAAGCGACAAAAATTTTTCGTCGCCAAAAAATTGTTGGGGCGGAGTACGAATGACTTCAGCTTAGAGTGACGACGGCGACAATGATGAAGACGATGACGGAGGAAAGAAAAGGAAGAGCGGGAGAAATGCGTAAAAATTTGCAGATTCAATCGATCAGTCGAATCCAAGCATAAGTAATGTAGTAAATAAGCTTTAATTTTAATTCATCAACGTATCCGTTTTCTTCATTATTTTTTTTTTTCAGTACCTTTCCTTCACCAACATTTTTTTCTTGACATCACTGATGTCTCCAGCAATTGGTAGAATGAAGTTTGGTGACGAACAGAACGTGATGATGGTGATGCAAGACGGGATAACGACAGTAGTAACACTTATACACACAGATTACAACCAGGGGTGAACCGTTTGGGAGTAACTGTTGACGACTTTGCGTCCATTCTGTTTTGACTCTTTAGTTTTCAAGATCTTTTTTCGGCAAAACTCATCCAATATAAAAATTTTTGTGTCTTAAAACAACTGTATTCTTTTTTTATAAAAACTGGTAAACAACATATTGAACACAAATGCAATGCTTTAATTTATACACAAATTTAGCCAATTTATTGCACGTCTATTTAAACGTTAAGCTACAGATTGCTCTAGCCTGTTGTAATGGTGGTGCTGATTTGGCTTAATTATTTCGAGAACAGTAATCAGACTTCAATTTTGCTCCACAAATGTTTCACTTGCTGAACAGAAACACCGATATAGAATCTTCATCAGGCAACGGAACAGAATCGTTCAACGAGTCTATAGATGTATAGATTTGTTTGATCTTCAGGAATTCTGTGCATTTAATTTACTGTTTCATCACAGTTTGTTTGCTACCATCCTGGTCTGTATCTAACGACGACAGATTCTGACGATATTCTCATTTTTCTCCCTCCCCTTTCTTAGTAACGTATAGATCTATAAATTTTAGCTGATTTGACAATTGTATTAGAACTTGTGGACAAAAATAGAGGCAGATGAATTACTACTGTGTTTGTTTGTGTGTGTTTTTGTGTATCCAAACTGTATTAATGTAAGTCTTTCTTTTTTATAGTTCAATGAGGAATTAATACTTTATTTATTCATTAGCAGATTCAATAAACATCTTTGATTGTTGTTGCGATTTTTTTGCTACTCAACACTTTTATCACTATTTCTGATTTCCAAGACTTTTATTTTATAGTGCAACGAGATGGACTGAAAAAAAGTATATAAATATGGAAAAACAACAGTAAACTAGATTAATACTTAGTAATAGATATGTCTCATATATCTAAAATAGAATAAAATAAGAAAGACTTTCAATATTTTGAAAAGTTATGAGTAATCGGTTTTGACCTGACCTTTTTCTATTCCTTTTTGCTTTGATAACTGCTCCAATCGACAATACATATAGACGAGTATACAGAAGTATTCAGATTTCGCATTAATAAGTTTAAGGTTTCTGCTTTTTGATTTGACATACAATAAGAAATGACAAAAAAGTTTTAATTTTAGTGCTGCTGCTTTTTTCTTCCTCTTCCTTTTTTTTTTCAAACCAAAACTTTTGTATCTTCTCAGTTTTTTGAAGTAGTAGGCATCGCTTTAAACAACACAGATAACCAATTTATAGCTTTTTTTTTCGTTTTTGGAACCCATATATATATATATTTATTTATTTATATACCAATTTTAGAATTTTAACGGCAAACAGCTGTCGGTCATTTTTGAAGCGATACACAGACACACACAAAAACACAGTCAGTTTTGTTTACTTAACACAAAAGCTTTAGTTTTGAAAAAGTTTTTGTGAATAATGTGCGAAAATAAAAAATTAAGCGTTAATTAGCCGTTGTTGGTAAAACACCTATAATGTATGCATATAAAATAAATCTATCAAAGATTGCCAACTATAAACTGTTGTTGACGTACTGACGGAATAACATAACAGTATACAGCTTATAAATGATTGAATTTAGAATAAAAAGAAAATTTTCTTTTTTTAGCTTTTTATGCTATTATCTGCGGTTAATTGTTGCTGCATTAAAAGACAAGAAAAAATAAGAGCAGTAAAAAAATATGATATAAAAAAATTTAAATAATCCTTGGTTAGTCACATTACTGCATACAGATGTCAACTTTTCAATAATGATTCTTTAGCATCTGTCAACACTGACCTGGACACTTAGCTGGGTTAACTTTAAAACTGTCTTCAAATAGCCCCTTTAAAGGAATTGCATTTGAACAGCTGTATTAGAAAAAAAAAAAAAAA